ATACAATATTTTAGTTTATATAAAGAATGATATTTTTTATTATTATAACTTTTATAATTTACTTATAAAAATTTAGATTTGTATTAAGAGCAAAATTTTTTTTTAATTTTGAGAATATATAAAATCTTAAAGAATCTTGAAAAATTTTTAATAGTAAAAATTTTTAAACAAAAACTTTAAAGTTTTATTGCTCAAAAGTTTATTAATAATATTAAAAAACTTTTATAATAAAGTTTATAAAATATATTCTTATAAATATTTTTTATGAAAAAATATACTCTATATTATAAATAAATTATTGTTTTATTTAAAAAAACTAAATATAATTAAATTTTTCAGACAAATTTATTTAGAATATAGTTTAAAGAATAATATAATTTTTATTTTCAAATATTATTAAAAAAAAAAAATTTATTTAAATATTTTAAAATTTAAAATATATAGATCATAAATATATAGACAAATCACTTACTATTTAATTTTAACGATCTACAATTGAAACCAATAGATCAATTCCGGGATAAGGTTTAACTGTAATACCATGTGTCTTTTCAAAGGTAAAACCTTCAACTAATTTAAATTCAAGATTTCTAATAATCACAGCTAATATAGTTCTAATTTCTAAATTTGTCATTCTCATTGCCAAACAACTTCTTGGACCCGCACTAAAAGGTATGAAATTAAAATTGGTTATATTTGACTTTATTTCCGGATTGAGCCATCGATATGGGTTAAAATGTTCAGCATCATGACCCCAAACTGAGGGATCATGATGGATTGAGGAGATGGGGATCAACAATGGTGTTTTCTAAAAAAAATTTTTTTAAAGTTATATGAAATACTATTTACCAAATAAATTGCACTATGTAAAATCATTTAAGAAAATACCTTTGGAATAAAGTAACCATTAAAAGTTTCATCTTTTACATTAGTACGAAGGATTACACTCCCTTTAATTCATATAAATTAGAGCTAGGATAAAGTAAGTAATTAATGATTTCAAAATATAAAGAGATATTGAACTATACCAGGCGGAACGATTCTTAAAACTTCCTTAAAGACACATTCTAAAAATTTCAATTGTTCAATTTGATCAGCAGTTGGATGACAATCACGATCAGGAAGTATAGCAAGTATTTCTTTGCGAAGACGATCTTGAATATCAGGATTTGCTGCTAGAAAGTATAGTGCAAAAGATATTGTAACACTGGTGGTCTCATGTCCACTTATGAGTAATGTCATAACCTGAAATTTATTAGATTTAAATTTTAAGTAAATTATTTCAATTATATATATATATTTATTTTATTTTAAATAAAAGTTTAATAAAATTATTTAATAATCCTTACCTGACCAACTAATTCAGAATGAGTTAATTGTTCGTCAACGGGTGATTGATCATTTGCTTTTATCAATAATGACAATAAATCTGTTCCTTGAACAGGACAATTTTTCTTATCAGCAATTAATTTCTCGGAAATATTATTGATAGTTTTAATAGATTCATAATATTTATTGTTATTAGGTGTTGGAATTTTTCTGATAAACGGAAGGAGATTGGAAAGAGCCCTGTATAAGGGCGTTATATTGTAATTAGTTACGAAATTGTATGCTTTAGATAATTCAGACTCTGTAGTTGTAGAATTGAATTTGTAATTAAATCCTATTTACAATAAATAATATGATTACGATTACTATTAAGAGCGTTATTAAAAAAAAACTTAACATATAGTACGAATATAAACTAATACTTGCCAACAAGGCCAATAATATCCAAAGCTATCTTTGAAGTTGTAGTTGTAATCGTAATTCTTTCCTCTCTCTTATTACCAATTTCTTTCATCCAGATAGCTTTTAAATTATGGGCAGCTTGAATGAATGTTGGAAGCATTTCCTTAAAATTAGAAAGTTTAAAATGTTAGATATAATTATACGATTAATTTTTTAATAGATCATTAATTGTCGTAAATAATACCTTGACATTGCCAAAAGAAAATGAAGGAGACAACATTTTTCTTTGTCGTTTATGAGTATCATCATTAGCAACTACAAGGCCTCCTTCACCAACTAGATCCTTCATCATAGCGGAGTTAATGTAACTCCTCGGAAAATCATAACTCGCCAATATCTTTTGTACGAGTTTTGGATCGGTAATTACAAGATATGGCTTATTCAATAAGAAATGATATCTAACTATTCCACCATATTGTTTTGCTAACTGAGAAAAGGCTTTACCATAATCTTGCTTTTTAAAAGAGGTATGCCCAAGAATTAAATTACCAACAGGTGGGCCAGGAATTTTACGTAATGGCGACAAATATGAAGGATAAATATAACATTTATACAGAAACCAGCTAACAAATGCAATAATTGCAGCTAAATAGTAATACATTTTTGAGTATCAGATTTAAGTGAATACAATATACTAGTATTTTTTTTTTTTTTTATTTATTTATTTATTTTTTTATTTTTTTTTTTGCGTAGAAATTACCGATCATTTTATATTAAAATTCTTACGTTAGCGACAGTATTCATTTGCAATTATCTTAAGTTGTTTATCATGCTTTTCAAATTACTGTGATCGGCAGATGATCGCCAATTCTTTAGTATAGCATCCATTAGTGTACTAGATCTTGCTTTGTTTAACCAAGTGGTTATAAAAATTTCCAAATTTTTCCTTATGTATTTTTAGATCGCAAATCAAATTAATTAATAAATAAGGTAGCTGCGAGATGGCGTCGCACTAAACTAGAAACGTAAACAACAATATTCTAAGAACGGTGTGATATTAAAAATTTAACGAAGTGTATGGTCATATCGCAAATTAAGTGGTGTGTGTCCGCAAAATCCTGCATTTTATTCACACGTAGTACCATCACAGGGTATATGTAATACTTTCTTCTGTATACAGTAGAGTGTGGAATCGATGAATAATTATTCGATCATCGATCGAAATTTTCGAGTACCGAAATAAGCTTTCATTCACTGAGTTTTTAATTCGGTCATTCATCGAATATATCGGTTAAATTTTAACTAT